AAAGTACGGACTCCCATCCCCAAAATGGGCGGTCTTACCCGTAAAAGCCCGCTAAAGTTTTTTACGGGTAAGCTGCTAACTCGCGAATCAGAAAAGCTAGAATATTGAAATTTTAAGAGTATGTTCCCCATTTCTGAAAAGCCTGTGGGACTTTTGGCGGGCAGTGTTGTTATCTCGGGAATTATGAAAGCTTAGAAGCTGAAATTTTAGAATAATTACCCCTGCCCACGTATGTCCTCGCAGCTTGAATTTCAGCCCTCTCGCGCGCCACTCCTGGATACTACGTACGGTCCCGTGAAAGTTTTGCCACGGCAACGGCAAAGTTGTTGGTTGTAGTCGAAGTGGAGTTGTTTCTGGATGAATTATTGTGTTCAATTATTTCATAAATTTGAGATTACAGTCATTATTCGTGAAATTTGCAATATATTTCAGGATGATGGAAGTAGTACGATTAGTCCAGCTTCGTCAAGAGCAGAAAGATCAGAGGAAGGTTCTTTCTCCAGACAACGGCAGCAGCAACAGCAGCAGTACGAGTCGCAGCCACAGCAGCAGCAACAGCAACACGAACTACAACCACAGCAGCAGCAGCAGCAACAACAACAACAACAGCAGCAGCAGCAACAACAACAGCAGCAACAACAACAACAACAACAGCAACAACAACAACAACAGCAGGCTTCATCTTCTGCAGTGTCGCAGCCGCTAGTCAGAGATGTAGAGGGCGTAAGTCTTTCTTTTCTAATATTTATTCCCAGTAGTATTTTTGCTTGAAAACAGCCCTCGAACGAGAGGACTATCGGTGGTCTTGCCAGCGGATGTTTGTTGTTAGCACTTGCAATTACTTGAGGCACTTCCCCGATGTATCGGCATTTTGTAGAGTTCAAATACGAGGAGAATTTAACGTGTGAATTTTGATATTGTTATAGATTTAAAGCTAACAAGCGAGGTTACAGCTGACTGATGAATTAGTTGGGTTCTTTTCAGGAGGTTATTTTGGGTGGATTTTTTAAAGAATAAGCAGAAAAGTGCTTTACCTTGATGTTAGTGTATAAATCACTGAGATGCCGGGATTTCGATTAAACTGAGAAAATTCAGATTTAAGTCTTGTTTCAGTTGCATCGACCAATCGACAAAATTCACGTGGATTTTGCTGCCAATTTGCTACTGAAAATTGCTGTTTCATTGCCAGATACGGTAAGCTGTTCGCATTTTTACCCATTCATAGAAAATTTAGGAAAATTACATTGTTTCATCGTTGGAATACATGGAACAGCTGTTAATTCACGGTATTCTGTGTAACCAATAATTTTCCCAGTTACTTTACCACTGCTGCATCATCTGATGGTCAGCCTATTGGTGATTTTGACGTTCATTTTTATCTCCAAGGAATATTACCAAAGCAGTGATTCTCTTAACAAAGCATTTGGCTATCAACAGCTCAGCTGTTCTGAGATGTTCTTGATATGTGTGTATGTGTGTGTATATGTGTGTGTTTGTTTGTGTATGTGTGCATGTATGTGTGTATGTGTGTGTTGGTGTGTGTGTGTATGTGCACGTATGTCGAACATTATTTCGTATGGGAGACGCATGGGTTGGTTATTTTATGGTTACAGTTCACTAACATGGAGGATTTGGAACACTGAAAGTCGTGTAAGTGGTTTAAATCAAAGAAATTGATGTATATTTCGCCAGGATCATGCAGGGTTGTTTGCGGGTTCGCGGGGTTTTTTCAGTGTCACAGTTCGTTTAGGTCATATCCAGCTCACTATTGCAATCGGATTGTTTTTCACCGAAATAACGT